AAAAAAAAAAAAAGTTGCAGGAGGAAAAAAAATGTACATTGATGACTGCAGCGAGCTGTATGGGCACAGCTGGGTACTACTTTATAGTATGTTCATTCTACCCACCAGGGTTTATGCCTAGGGTCAGACTTGGATACATGTGTAGGTTTGTGCCAGCTGTGCTAGCTAATGGATTTATTTAGACTAATTAAGTTCATTGGCAGAACAATTGAATTGGGGGGGAGGAAGGTATGGAGGGCAACCATGGATGCCAGGGAAAAAGGGGGGAGAAGGTGGGACATAGCAGAGGGTGGGGGATGGGGAATCAGGGATGGCAAGACAAAGGGCAAGGTATGCAGGACGTAAGAATTGGAAAATTATTTGCTGAGAACATATATGTGGATGTACTTGATTGAGACAATGCACAGTGTATTTTGGATGGAAAATTCATTTGTGTGTTGTGATGGTGTAAAGTGAATTAATAAAAAAAAAAAAAAAAAAAAGAGAAAGGTGAGTCCAGAGAGACTGGTAAGCTAGAAGGAAAGGGTGTTTAGGATGTTATGTAGAGACTGTAAGGAAGGAGGTGGTTTGGAAGAACCTGAAGCCATAAATGAGGAAGTTGACCAAGTAAGGGCCTGGAGGAAGCCAATGGGGCACAAAAGACATACAGAAAGAGATCAGTGAAGAAATGAGGAAAAATGTAGGGATGAGTAGGTAGATTCAGTTGAGTTTGTAGATGGGGAATTTTAAAAATAATTATTTAACTTTATTATTTTACTTATTTGTTTTAATTTGGCCAGAGAAGGACAGAGTGAAAAAGAGAGAGAGAGGGAAAGTGAGAAAGCAAGCTGCCAAGTCTGGGACTCAAACAGCACTGGGCCACATGAGAATCCAGCACCCTTAACCATCATGCCACCTGCCGGCCCCATATAGATGGAGAATTAAAGTCCCATCCTGATGGCCTGTATTGTGTGTGTTTGCTTGTTTCTGCGGGGAGAATGGTGGAGAAAGTTGGGACTTGAGAAGAATGGTAAAGGTTTGAAATAGAAAGTAGAAATAGTAAGTAGAAAGGAAATAAATGTGTGAGCTACACTGAAACATCTGCAGAAGTAAAGCTCTCGTAGGCATGTAAAAAGGCCAAAGGATAGTAGTTCTGGAACAGAACAGGGTTGATTTCCATTTGGATGGCTGACAGGATTGAGGAGGTCAAAATCCTAGACTATAGGAATTAAGGGTGCTGGTGAGGGTGGACAGCAATTAGAGATTCAGGTATGAGGGGAAGGAAGGGAGCCAGGAAGGAGGTGGAAGGTGGAAACAGGACACAGGGAGCAGGTTGAGAGGGAGGCCATGTGGAATGAAGGAGCACAGGAGGTGGTGAGAAAAATGAAGTTTCAGATGAAAGATTTCAGAGGAAGAGCTATTTCAGGTAGTGACAAAGTCTTAAAGACAATATTAAACAAAAGAAGATTTGCATTGAGATTACACAGAAGAGATTTAGACCTAAAGGAAACATTTCCTAAAAGTTCTGTCAACATGGCTCTATTGTTTGGTCCTTTTTAACTCTGGGCTTAGGAAAATATTGGAAACCTCTGTTCTCTAAGAAAGATGAAAGTGAGAAGATAGAGCTCTGAAAAGCAAGTACATCTGGGGACCATTAATTATATGTAAAAACAAAAACACCCTCAAAACAAGAAACAGGACAGGGGAGGTAAGCACTCTGCCTCTTGCTATGTTAAATAACTAGCTAGAAAAGAAGTCTTTGCCCAAATCTTCATAATAAGGCAATTTTATTTGGTTTATACTTCCTATAAATCTTGAAACAAGAGAACTTTTATTTAGGTTTTGTTATATAAATCGCCCCCCTACCCCTGAAAAACAGCTTGAATTCCCTTTTATGTTCTTGTCATCTTCTGGGGTTATGAGTTTGATTAGTAAAGTGGACCTGTAATTTCTAACTTCACACTCTATACTTATATCTAAGTATTCATTATTGCTGTTTTTTTTTCCCCTCCAGAAATCAGTTTTCTTTTAGACAGCTTTCTCTCTCAAAATATTGTCTACAATCTTAAAGTAAAAACAAAAATAAACAAACTCTAAAAAATACAAAACTAAAATAAAACCAAACACTATCTGTAGGTATGTGTAAAGTGAATAAAGCTTTGAAATGTTCACAGCATTATTCAGAATATCCCCAAAGTGAAAACAACCCAATTGTCTATCAACTGATGAATGAATAGGGTGTGGTATAATTGAATATAATTTGGTAATAAAAAGAAGTATTACTACATGCTCCAACATGGATGAATTTTTTTTTCAAGTAAACATTTAAATTTTTTAATTTCAATAATTAAAATTTAAAATTATAAAGGTCTTCAGAACATGGATGAATTTTGAAAACATTATGGTAAATTAATTTGATATGTCACCTTGAGCGGTGCATGGGGTGCTCAGATTAAACGTTTCTGGGTGTGTCTAGAAGGGTGATTTTAGATGAGATTAGCATCTGAATAAAGCAGACTGCTCTCCCTAAAGTTGGTGGTCATCAGTAATCCACTGAAGACCTGAATAGAACAAAAATACTTGAGCTGGGACATCAGTTTTCTCCTGCCCTTGATGGGGATTTATATCATCAGTCCTCTGGCTCCCAAAACTATGCCACCAGCCTTTTTGGGTCTCCAAATGGCAGAGGTAAGGCGTGAGACTTCCATTTACATAATTACATGAGACACTTTGAATAGTAAATCTCTATGTATCAATTGGTTTATTTATCTGTCAATCTATCCATCCTACTAGCTATTTTCTAAAGGACCCTGACTAATACAGAAGCCAGACACAAAAAACTGTGTATCGTATGATTCTCGTTATATACTGTATGATTCTCTTTATATGAAATAGCCAGACTAGGCCAATCCACGGAACTAGAAAGTAGATTAGTGGTTTTCAGGGGCTTTGGGGGCAGAAAGAGAGGGCAAGAGAACAGAAAATGGCTGCCCATGGGTACAGGATTTCTTTTTGAGGTGATGAAATGTTCCTGAATTACAACGTGGTGATGACTGTACAACACTGTAAATTCAAGAACTCCACTGAGTTTTACATCTTAAAAAGGTGATTTTTTTTTTTTCTTTTTCGTGGCACCTCAGAGGAGATCAGCTACTTCATGAGGCTGAATATTTCCTTCCTTGCCACTGGCTGCCAGAAACCCATTCAAGGGGACGATGAACTCAAACTTCATACTTTTTTTTTTGGAGAGGTTTTTGCTATAAAGCGCGTGTGTTTGCCAGACAGACAGAGAGAGAGGGAGAGACAGAAAGCGAGAAATCCCCCCCCCTAGTGGGGATGGCCATGCTGCAATCCCTTCTCCTCCGTTCTCCTCTCGGGATCTTGGGCACGCAAGCACACGCACCCGGTGTGAGTTTTAAGCCACCAGGTCCAAGATGCGAACCGCAGTCGACTACATGGGAGTCCAGCGACATAGCCATTACGCTAACTGCTGGTCCCAAACTTCATACTTTTTTATGAGAAGTGTAAGGCCACAGAAGTTGCTGCTGATGCTCTGGGTGAAGAATAGAAGGGTTATGTAGTCCAAATCGGTGGTGGAAATGACAAACAAGGTTTCCCCATGAAGCAGGGTGTCTTGATCCCATGGCCATGTCTGCCTGCTACTGAGTAAGGGACATTCCCAGTACAGACCAAGGAGAACTGGAGAAAGAAAGTTCCCATGGCCATGTCTGCCTGCTACTGAGTAAGGGACATTCCCAGTACAGACCAAGGAGAACTGGAGAAAGAAAGTGCAAATCTGTTCGGGGTTGCATTGTGGATGCCAACCTACGTATTCTCAACTTCGTTATTGTAAAAACAGGAGAGAAGGATATTCCAGGACTGATACCACAGTGCCTGGTCACTTGGTGCCTAAGAGAGCTAGCAGAATCCCCAAACTTTTCAGTCTCTCTAAAGAAAGATGATGTCGGCCAATATGTTGTAAGAAAGCCCTTAAATAAAGAACATAAGAAACCTAGGACCAAAGCACCTAAAATTCCACATCTTGTGACTCCACCTGTCCTGCAACACAAATGCTGGCATATTGCTTTCAAGGAACAACGTACTAAGAAAAATAAGGAAGAGGCAGCAGGCTATACTAAACTCTTAGCCAAGAGAATGAAGGAGGCTAAGAAAACACAAAGAACAGAGGATGCATTCCACATCTTGTGACT